TTTCTTTCTCCACATACTGTTGTTGAATGATCTTAGGGAAAATATAAGCCTTACTAAAATGGAGATAATATTTATCTCATAAATTAATGTTACTTTTGTCATGAAAATCTTCCTTTTTGCAGAAGTTACCAGAAACTGTAATACCTAAAGTCAGCCACAAGAGGGCAGACAGACATCAAAAAACCCAGTACCATTTTAGTTTTTTTAAGCACCGCTAAGTAACCATGGTAGCTATACTAAAACCTAAAACATTCCTTTGGCAGGTATTCTCCAAACAGTACTCACCGCCCAACTGAATGTTTAATCTCCAGTGTCAGTAAGAGGATTAGCCTTCCCTGAGTTTGCAATTTGAGATGGAATCAAAGTACTCCTGCCACTCCTACTTCAGGCTGAAATTCTTGCAACTCAGAGTAGATTCTTACCAAAACCCTTAAGAATGAATGTTTGGGGGATGCACTATTGTCAGCTCTGTCACTTACTGGGTAGAGTGACTATGGGCAAATTACTAACATTCCTTAAGCCTCTGGTCAGCCTCATCTAGAAAGTAGGAATAATGACTCTTACTGCAAACGATTATTGTGAGGATTCAATGAGATGATGCTAGAACAGGTTAACATTTTAAAAAATAGGGTCTTTGTTGTTTTCTGTAAAATGAGGGGACTAGGGAATGGGTCTCTAAATTCTCATCCTACGTGAATGTTCAATGTTTAATGAAATTGCATTTATTCTTGGAAAATGTCCAACTCAAAAAGATATTTCTGAGCTATGACCATTTTCTGGAATTATTTATCAGACTGGTGTAACGGAAACAGAGAAGAGCCGTGTGGTAGGGCAGAGGAGGACTGCTCCTCGGTCTGAAAACCTAGGCCCTCTGATCTAGCTCTGCTTTTTATCAGTTGTAAGACTCGGGCAATCTGCTTAGCTGTTATCACAGTCTAAGTTTACCCATCTATAAAATGAGGCTGAAATACCTACCTCACAAGATATGAGGATTAATGTGATCATTTGTATGAATATCTTTAAACACAGTAAAAAAACCTTTATCTGAAAAAATGGGCTTACTAAGACCTCCTTTGCAGGGTTATTAGAAAAACAAATGAGATAATGTGTGTAAATTGATTAACACAATTAGCAGGAGTTCTAAAGCTCCTGGAGTATATAGGAGGTTTAGGGATATAATAAAGGACCAATTAATAGCAAGACCCACAACAATAAAGTATAATAGGAATGGAACTCAGATGAGTATGAGCAGCTACCAGAGGCAGGCAGGTGCCTGGCATTAAAGTCTGACCCTTTGCATCAGCTGGACATAAATGCCTGCTTCTGCCAGCTCATTGGCAAGGTGACACATGTCCAGGGAGCAGAATTAATAAAGGGTCTGGCCAGATGTACACACTAGCCTATTAAACATTTTCCACTTTGAAATGGCCTCCCTCAATCCTTCTCTTTGCAGTTGATCACTGGGTACAGAGACTGCCTGTTGTAGAGGCCCTGAGGAAGGGGGTTGAAGGTAGTGCTGGTCTACCCCAGACCTCAGTGAGAGCCCAGGTTCATCTGTTCCACACAAATTAAACTCTAAGTTCCTTGAGTCTAGTTCTGTTCAAAACACATTGTTACTGAACTCCTGCAATATGCCAGACACAGTGCTGGAAACTGAGTCATTAGGGATGAAGATGGCATGGTCCCTTCCCCCAGGAGCTCAGAGAATTGCAGGAGAGACAGGAGGGAGTTGACTAACTTTCCATGACATGTGGCAAGTGCCATGACGGAGGAAGGCAGGGCAGAGAGGTCAGGTGACGTCAGGGAAGGAATCCTGGAGGAAGAAGTGCCTGCACTCAGATTTGAAGGATGAATTAATACAGCCTGGTAAAGCCAGAGGAAAGAGAAAGGCTTGGGAGCAGTTCTGAGAAGTTTGGGAGGCCCGAGGTACTGGAGCAGAGGGGAAGGAGAGGCAGATGGAGCTGGGGAGGTAGGCTGGGGCTCGCTGTAGGTGACCTGGAGTGCAGAGAACCCCTCCACAGCTCTCCACACACTTCGCAGCAAGACTCCCCAGCCTGGGCTCAGTACATACCACCTACATTAGTGGCTGACTGACAGATAAGGAAGGTCAGGGGGAGGGGCTGTCCCCGGTCTTGCCCGTCAGCTTTATTACACATGACATCACTTCCCAGATGACCTATACAGCATTTCAGAAGACCCAGCTCCTAGAAATGTCACACCATGGCCAGGTCCACAGAGAATCTGCCAAGTCTACTGCAAAGACTTTTCGACAGGATTCAAATAGGGTAAGGAAGGTTGACTGCAACAGAATTCACCAGCTACCAGGAGATTGCCGAGGTTAACACTACCCCGGTAGTCCAGACTTGTTCTGACCTTTCCTATCTGCAAGGGGGTCCATCCATTGTGGGCCCAGGATAAAGAGGGATCTTGTCTACTTTGCTGAAGTTGCAAGCCCTTCACAGGGCTGCTGGAGTTCACTTCCCTCCATCTCAAAAGGCCAGCCTGCTCCCTTCACTGGCCTCATGGTGGCCCGGACCAACCCAAACCACTCCGGGGATAAGCACAGGGAGTTATCACAAGTGACTGTGAGTTAGTGCACGAACGGGGCTCAACACTCCGATGTGCTGAACATCAGATCGAGCCAATGGGAGTTACATAGTAAACATGAGCCCAGGAAGAATAAGCGGGGAGCTGGAGGGGGCGGCAGGACAGATGGCACTGGAAACAGCTAACTGGTTAAACAGCTAAAAAAAAAAAAAAAGGTGCAATTTGTCGGGAGGTTGTTTTTTGTTCTGCATTTTGTTTGTTTTGGTTTATTCCAAAGGAAAAACACTGGCAGTGTTTCCAGCTCTATATACCCGAGATTCCTTAGGAACTCCCTCGGGAGAGATCGTAGCCTGGCGTGTTTGAGGTGGTCCTTGAACATTTCCTCCCACTTGCTTCCCTGCCTGTCTTGTCAATGACCAAGCGATTTGCTTCGCGGGGTAGAGCTTCCCCAGGCTCCCTCGAGCTGGACTATTTGTCATGGCAGCAGCTGGAGATAAGCTGGACACAAAGAGGATTTGTGTCTCAGGAGGGTAGGTTCCTAGATACGGAGAGCAGAGGAATTTTCTCATTAGTAGGAAGTCAGTGGTGGGGACTCTGGGCTTTCATCATGGCCCCCCGGTACAGATGGCAGCAGGGAGGAGGTCATCCTGGAGGGGTGACACTCAAGATGCTTTTGGTGGACAACCTCGTTTCCAGAGTGGATTCCCTTGGGGAGAAGAAAGACACAGAGTGCCATCCGAAGCTTCCAGCGGGGGGAGGGAGTCCATCTAAAAAGGCCATATGGACTTAACTACTTGTTCCCACTCATGCGGGGTTCCAGATGGGGCACCCAAAACCCAGCGGTGGGCCCAGTGGGAAGCACTGCCGAGTGAAGCCCAGGGGACCCAGAGGGCCAGAATCTCAAAGAGTAGTCATCGCAGAGTTATCACTATGGCAGGACAGGGAGTTCAAGCACAGAGAGTTCTAGAATACTCCCAAAAGGGGTTCTGAAGTCCGAGAGCAGACTAAGTTGACCAAGAAGTAGTTCTCTAAGTTTGGGGCAGCATCTGAGTTGTAGTCCTGTTTTAATGGATCTCATAAATTTTGAATACCAACTGGGGCTCCCCACCAGCAAAAGCACAGACTTTAGGAATGAAGTGGGTTTCCCAATGGCCTTTGATGATCGATTTCCTTCAGCGACTACTGTAAACCCAGAGGAAATAAACACTCAGCTGAGATTAATTGCCCCCTCCTTGTTTTCACTGTACTTTCGCATCTGATAACATACCCCATTAGCTAACGCCCAGGAGGGCAGGAACAATGGCGTCCTCACCCACTGGCAGTGTGGGGAGAGAACCCCGTATCACCTCCCCACCAGTGTGACCAGTGCCCTCGTCTGCACGGAGCTCACGGTAGACAGGGCTTTGCACATATTGTCTCAATAAACGCATCTTCTAAAAATAAACCCCAGCTTCTAAAACATGACATATGCACATCCATTTTTACGCTAAAAAATGTCCTCGAGACAATTTTGTACAAGTCTTCATACTTGATCTTAGTCAAAAATTACTTTGCATAACGGGAAAGACAGGCATTTTGTTAAGGCACGTTTCACACCTGAATGGCTGCAGAAGCAGATCCTGAAGCCATTCAATGGGAGAGGTCTTCTGAAGAATAGTCCTTGGAACATTCGCTTAAAGAAAAAGTTGCTATTGTAAGGTTTTGGGGGAGGCGGGTTTGTTTGGAGTATTTTTCGTGGTGGCTGGCTGGTATGGGGATCCAAACCCTTGACCTTGGTGTTCCCCTTGACCACTACCATAAGCATTTTCAATGCCTTTTCCCATGCCTGGAATATGTTGGATTGGTTTTTGTTTTTCGTGCTTTCCCAGGACAACGTGCTGCGCCCACTGTGAGACAGCGAGCAACCTGAGAGCCCTATTGTTCTCATCTCGCACCTCCTCTGAGAAGTGAAGTGTGGGAGTGGAATTAGGTGCAGAAAAGGCTAGGGACTTGGCCTCACACCTGTGACACTCCTGACGTGGAGCCAGAGAGCACCTGAGTGCTGACCTGTAGAACCCAACCCCTGGCACAGTTGTGGTGAAAAATGAGCATTTTGGGCAGAAAGGCCCCATCTTTCCCCCTTTAGAAATGTATGTAGCTTCTGTGAATAGTCAAGACACCCCTTTTCCCTTCCTATTTCTTCTCCACTTTCTTCAAAGGAGGCTAAAGGCCTGGCCGATTCTCAGCTGTGAGTCCTCTGGGTTCCAGGATCTGATACTCTGACCTCAGTGGGGTGCGGGAGCTTCCAGCCAGCTCTCCTCCAAGACACATTTTCTCAATAAGAGAGTGACAAGGCTGTCTCAGTCCAGGGAAGGCCCATAAAGCCAAATGCCAATGCTCTCCCCACAACAAGTCAGCTTTGAGGAAACCAAGTATGTACTCCATCAGTCAGGAGGGAAAAAACAAAACCAGCAGACCAAACCAAATCGTTTTATTGTGCAATTTCCTTCTACCAGAAAATTACTAAAAATATAAATATTAACTCTCTAGAAAATACTCAGAATAGATCTGTAACCTTTCTCCTCTTCCAAACTGGGGCCAACCTTCTTGTTCTTTAAAAGGTGACAGATTTCATACATATGTCTTCATACCATCCACATACGTAACATTCACAGATACATTTCTCTCTGTGCCCTCCTGCCAGGCTCTGGAAGCTCACCTTGTGACATATCAGGGCAAAGTTATGTGCTGAATAGGTTGTCATGATGGGGTTGCAGAAAGACTCTCAGCCCCAACTTCCTTATGTGGACACAGAAAATAGATCCTTCATTCCTCATTACCCTGCCCTCATTTGGACTGGGCTACCCAAAGGCCAAGTTCCCAGCATAGCTGGACTCTCTACAAGGGATTTGTTTGTGGGAGGTGGTGCCATGCTGCAGTTACAGGAAGCTCAGACTATTGAGGTGGACACAGAAACCAGGTAAGGCTTTGGATGGAAGAGCTGGTCTCAGGATTAGGAATAGTTGTTCCTATGGGCTCTGGGCAGCACTTAGCCCCTAGCACCAGGTAATAACTGCAGCATCTAAAAGCAGATTTCAGTCTCATACAGCCTCCCGAGGGAACAGCATTACCCCCTGCAGCAAGGGGATGGCCGGCTTGTAGGCAGCTAGACACTGGAGCAGGGTTCCATGGCACCTTATTCAGTGTCAGACAAGAGTCTGAAAAACTCTGGGGTCACCCTGCTGATGTCCTGAAACCTGTTGGTATCCCTTTGGTAATCCTGGGTCTGAAGGCTAGGACTTCAGCAGCAGCCTGTGTGAGATGGAGACAGGGTACTTAAGCAAGGCTGAGCCTGCAACATCTGTACCCATGGCCACCATATCACCTGGCCAGGGCCACCCAGGCCTCTGGGGGAGGAACAGCTCCAGAGTGCAGATGCCTGCTAAGTTTCCTGTCAGAGGAGCAAGCAGAGCTGCTGGTATGGAAAGCTCAGATGAAACTGGGCTTGCTCCCAGGATGCATATTCAGTCTCTCTCCCCACCCCCCAGCTCTGTGTTTTGTGTGATACCCTAAACCATTCTGGGAAAACTCGCAGGACCCCAAATGCTAGTCCTGAGGACTTCTCTCCAGCATCAGGTGCCCAGCTGCACAGACCCTCGCGAGGGAGGAGAGACATGACTTCGCAGTGGGCATGTGGCCAGACCTCACTTTCCAGAGCAGTGGAAGACAGGGTAGAAGAGAAGGGGGACGGAGGGCTGTGGCAGGGCCGTGCAGCTGCTGACGCGAGCAGGTGGGAAGGTGCCACGTCCTGTAGGAGTTAGCATGGACGTCTTACATGGCAGATGCGGGGTAGGGGAGCAGAGGCTTGGTGATGAGATGAACTGGGAAGTGAGCCCTGGGTGTCCCAGAGCTGAAGGTGGAAAGCCAAACAATGAAAAGAAGAGAGGATGCCACAGGGATGAGGAAGAGGACTGCCACACAGCCTCCCAGCTGCACGTGCCCTTCCCAACCTTCCCCTGGGGAGCTGGCCACCTTGTTCAAGAAAAGGGATGTTCTCTTCTTGCTGCAAAGGCCCCCCAAGATGAGATCACTCCCTTACAGGTCTCCTGGCCACAGGAAGACAGCATGATAAGACCCCTGGTGAGAGACAGGAACACAGAAATGGGTTAACCCAGGACGGCAGGAACCAGTTAGGGCTAGATGAACTGTACACAGATGCTGAACGCAGGGGCAGAGAAGGACCACCGGCACCGGGATAAGGGAAGGGTGGGCCAGAGGCCCCTCCAGGTTGGCCCCAGGCTGCAGGACACTCAGACACCTCAGCATGTGCAGAGCCCCACCCCACACTGGGTTCCATGCCTTGCTCCACAGCTCTCGCTGCCTTCCCATCTCATAATGACGACCCCAGCTTACGCGTGCCACACCCACACCCTGGAACTGCAACCCTTTAGGCTGTGGGGTGGGCCCCGGAAGCTGCTCTGATCCCCAGCAACTGCTCTCCTGGCCTGTCCCTTCTCCATTACTTCTGCTCTTGGTCTTCACAGGACCATCCCAAGCTCCTGGGCCTTCCCCTCACAACAAAATCAGAATACGCCCTGGGGCTCCTGCCAGGGCCTGCCCCGCAGAAGCCAGATCTGTCCTTCAGAGCAGGGAGCCAAGCAAGCCAGTCACAACACTTCCGCAGGTGACTCTCCCAGACAGGCAGGGAACTTGGTTTGTATTCTACATCTGACTGGGGGGAAACCTTGGGTGAATTCTCAAGGTCTCAGGCCTAGGCAGCATCTCCTCTGGCTCCCACCCAAAGCACAGAGACAAGACAGCAACCAGAGGGGCCTGCGCTGTCCTGGGACTAGGAGAAGCCGTGGCTGGGGTGTGGTCAGGGTGTGTGGCTTTCCAGGCCAGGGACTGTCATCAAGCCAAACCCATCACTCCTTATCCAGGGTCGTTCCCCCAAGCCAGGAGGCCTCTGGGCCATCAAGGAGGGAGAAGGAACCTGGGTGTGGGTGGGAGAAGAGCAGGGGAGTGGGCAGCATACGGGAGACAGGTAGAGAGTGCAAGATCTGTCATCCTAGGCTGCTGGGCACTGGCCTTACTCAGTGGTAAGCCAGGACAAGCTAGGAAGGGAAGAGCTCCAATTTCCAAGGGCTGCAGCCAACACCCAGAGGAGCCTACAGAAAATCAGGGTCAGGAAGGGCACCCGAATTTTTTTACCCGTGGCCTTCCGAGCCGCCACCATCCCATGTGGAGAAGCGCCTGTCTACGGGTGCCTTGTACAAGGAAGATATGGGCATGGCAGAGCTGGGGCAAGGGCCAGTGTGCACGCAGAGGAGAAGGCAGAGGGAAGTGGGTGGTGCTTGGCAGGGAAGAGAAGAGGCCCTACTCAAAGGACAGCAGGTCTGGGTGGGGGCCCTCATTGTCAAGGCTGGAGGTCCGTGCCCGAGTGGGGGGGCTGCCATCCTCCCAGGCCTCAGCCAGGCTGATGGGGCTCAGGCTGAGTTTGAGGCCATTTCTCTCGATGAGGCCCGGGGAGGAGGCCCTTCTGTGCTCAGTCATCTTTAGCTTGGTTTCATCCTGGCTGTCCTTGTGGATTAGGTCAGGAACCGACAAGGAAACCTCTCCGTTGGGCAGAGCCTCACTCCTATCTCCCATTTCTATGGTGGCCTCGGGCTGGGAAGTGTCTGGTGGCACAGGCTGGGCAGCGGGAGTGGAGTCCTGGGGCTGCCCAGGTGACAGCTCTGTCCCATACTCCAGACTGCTTAGGACAGGCTGTGATGAAATTAGCATGTCCTGGGTGGTCTTCAGGGCTCGAGGGGTTCGCTTCCTGGTTATGGGAGGCGGAGGATCCAGCCGAGGGAATGCTTCTTGCAGGTCCGACCTGTAAGGGTGATGACAATAAACATGCACGCTTTAAGGATGGCAGACAGCAGTCTGCGCCACATTCTCATGTCGCTAACTCAACTGCACGTTCAACTCACCCACCTGGTGACTGCTTTGCCCCTGGGCTCTTGTTCTTGGTTTAGCGTGTAAGTCTTAGCAACTTCAGCATGACAACTGGCTTTGGCCTGTTCCATCCTCACTCAGTGTTCAGAGTGGCACAAAGTAAAAACCCTGGTGAACCATGTCATATCAGAACCTATGCAATAAGCCCCATTAAGGACATCACCACCTCAGAGGACAGGTGTTTAAAGCCAGGCCTGGAAAGGACCCGCTGGTACAGGTGGAAGAACGGGAGGGCGGCCACAGCCAGCTTCTCCTCTCCTCCCCACCGCCCTGCAGGCTCTGAGCCTAGGGCAGCGATCCTCGGCTGTGGCTGGGCCTCAGGATCCATCTGGGGAGCTCTGGGGCAATACTTGGGTTTGAATCCAGCTCTGTCAAGTTCTGTCACCTCAAGCTACTCACTTTACTTCTCTGAACTTGAGTTATCTGCACAATGGAAATATAACCGATCTCCTAGGGCCATCACGAGGGTTAGGTAAAATGACAAAACCACAGGATGCAGCACAGTGCTAAGGACAGGATGTGGGCTCAGGAAGCCTCAGGAGGGTGAAACTAGGGACCCAGTCTTTGGCTTTTCTTCACAAGACCATTTCAACTCCCTCCCACAGATGCTGCAGTTTGTCCATGTACCCCTTCAAGCAGATCCACAGAACTGTAAGGGGTTGATGGGGGGACTCACCTTTCACCCTCCAGCCAGGCCCCTGATGTCCCATCAGCACCACTGGCCAGCTGGGCCCCTGCAGTCTTGTTGATCTCCATCACACCCACACTGCCCAGGCTCAAGGGCTCCTTTCTCCGCAGGAAGTCGTTCACTTTGGCCCCCATGGCTTTGCCCAAGTTCTTGAGGTGCTGGCTGCTGCCCACCCAGAGTCCTGGCCCACTGGGCTCCACAGAGCCCACGGCAGCAGAGCTGGGGCCTGCAGGCCTGGACAAGTGGGGGAAGGAGCGGCTCGACTGGAGGTTTGGAGTGAGGGACGTGTTCAGATTCTCAAACATGCTGTGGTCAACTATGAACAAAGAGGGAAGAAAAAGAAACCATGAGCAGTGGGGAGTGGGACCTTCGACCATATCATTCGGCTTCTCTTTTCCCTATACCATGCCCCACACTTGTAACTTCAGAGGACTTTGGAAACATTCTAGAACGAGCCAGCAACAACACTCTTGAACTTTTCTGTGCAGTTTTCTTGATGGGAAAGGAACCAGAAATTCTAGTTCCACCCCACCCAAGTTAATCAGTGACTAACCCTCACCATAAAAAAGGGAACTTATTCCTTTCAACTTGCCTCCTTGACCCCTTTACCTTGGGGCCCCCAGGCCCTTTGAAGTGAAGAAAAAATGAGGATGAAGCAACAGAATATGACATTTTTACACTGCTGTGAGCACATGCTGAGCTCTGACTCAGGCAATGGGACAGAAGCTGGTGGTACGGGGCAAGTATGAGGCTTGGTGCTGGAAGTTCCACACTCCATGGAAAGTGGACCAGCAGTTCCCTCATGTCTCCTGAGGTGGAGCTTGGGAGAGCGGCCAGCTCACATGCACAGATGCTAGTGGTTGTTCACAACTGGTTCACACCAAATTGTCAGGTCCTTGGTGCTAATGAAGCACGGGGATCCCAGCAAATACCAGCTCACCTAATCCTCAGAACAGCCTAGTGAAGTGGGCCCTAGTGAAGTGGGTGTGCTGACACCTATTTACAGATGCAGAAGGGGGATGGGGGCTCAGAGTCATGAGCTGCCAGGCCTGGGGTCACACAGCTAATCACCTAATCACTGGTGGGGGTGGAACTAGAACACAGGTCTTCTAACCCAAAGCTCAGGGCTCTTTCCACTAGAACAGCTGCCTAAATATGCCTCATAGATGGTACTCACTTGGGGATCTCTCTTTGGCTTGAACAATTAATTCCAAAGGCTGGGTGTAGGCCCACTGGGTTGTAAACATTTGCAAGGCAGAGGCCATGCCTCATTAATCTTTGTATCTTCAACACCTAGCCTGGGTCTGGTACATAGCATGTGCTCAATAAATATCTTGAGTTGCCAAAACCTATTTTGCAGATGAAGAATTGTGGAGGCCAAGATGACAGCTCCAAGGTTTGCAGCTGAAATAGCTGGAGCTCCAGGCTCTAAGCCAGGCTGTCCATGCACTCACATCTCTCCCCACCTGGAAATCTAGCTTGGTCCTCAATGCAGCCCCAGAGCCACTGTGGAGCCTTGGAACCGGCCTAAGGTTTCTGTCCATACTAATTACCTCAGATATTTTGTCAACCTGGGGGAAGGAGAGACTACGTTTGGTCACCAGGCTCCTCTCCTTGTCACCACCTCGGCTAAGTACCTTTTCTCACTGATCCTTTCTTAAGAGTCATGGGGGTTAGTGCGTACTTTTTCTTCTGCTAGATTTTTGCATAAAGCAGTTCTCTCCACTCTGCAGTGCTGAGTCCTGGGCCAGGGTGAGCATTTCTCTTCTTGTGGTTTCAGGAGAAATAGCTCCTCTGGGCCAACTACCTAGATAAGCTGTATTCTAAGAGCCTACAGGTGGCCGGGAGAAAGCCATGGGAACAGTAGAGGAGATCTCTCTCTGTGGATAAGCCCTGTGGTCTTCACCTCTGTAACTGCCTCTAACCCATGGTCAGGTGAAAGTGCCGCTGTAGGGTGAGGGACATGCCAGGGACTTTGGGTTACAGCATCCCTGGGGTTCAGAGCACAGCTGGCTGTCTTGGGACATGGCCCAGCACACTAGCAGGAGTTCCCAGCCAGCCCCACAACAGCAGGGCCATCAACCCCTGATGATTCTTCTAAGAGCATATCTTGCCAAGTTGTCTGCTTTTTGCACAATTTACCTATCATGTCCCACATCCTTCTCATTTTCTTTAATCATATAATCTATAAACTAGAAAAAAAGACTTAGAAACTAAACCATATAACTATTTTCCCCCAAACCAGAAAGTCAATGGGCAACTATGAAACCACATGAAATGGTCGAAAGTAGCATGACAGGGGACGCAAATCCCCCACCGCCTCTTAGATCAGATATTTCCGTGGTGGTTTCCTTATTGGTTTAAAGTGAATTTTCACAGCAGTCACGTTCATTTTTAATAGTGTTAGCACCGACACCACCTGTCGCAGTGATTTATAAATTATGAGCCCCTATAATTATTTGAAAAACACACTCTAAAATAAACATAAACAGCTTTTGGATTACACACCATTTGGGGTTTCCTGTACTTCTTGCTCTCTACCTTTCATAATGTAGTCAACAAAATACACTGAATTCTAAAGTCATCTAAAGATAGCCTATCATACACTCTCTTCACAATTATCTAAGTCTTTCTGGTAAATACTCTTGGTCTCTATAATAAAATGGCAAATTCCTCGAGGGGCCACAGCATCTGAAGTGCTTTTTATCTTCTACAATGCCTAGCTTAGGGCCTTGCACAATAGCAGGCATTTAATAAGTTAGTTTAACTGAATTTGACATTTATGCTAATTCTTAAAAATTAACTGCATTATGGGCTAACATTGTTGAGAAACAGCTCACAAGTCTTTTTCCCATTTACAAAAAACACTCAAAACCCCCTGTATGGGAGTGGTCCACAGGGGCTCTTGAGGTCAGACCAGGAGAAACTGCCCTTCTCCCCAAAGTGGGACTCTGGCTGGGGTTTCCTTCATCCACACATCTAAGTGATGTGCAATGAGCCCCCTTCCTGCTGATGGCACCAATGACCCCCCACACTCTGTCCCTCCTGCCTCAGGACTAGAGGCTTGGTGGTTACGAAAATAATGGCGATGGAGGAGAGAAAGATGATTGAACCCCAGCTGGATGGCCCTCCCAACAGCACCCCCAACATGCACATACCCAAGCAGAGAGGGGCATCTGGGAACATAAATCACCCACAAGAAAGAGGGTATCTTACCTGTCCGAGAAAGGAGCTCGGAAAGCAGGTGGGAAACAAACAAGAGAAAGACACATTTTATGTAGTGACCAACCACCTTGAGAGAGTGTCACCTTCCTGGGCCACCAGCAACAATATACCAAGAGAAGATATGGCATGCAAGACAGAGGCTCCGCCACTGGGAGTACGACAAACCCAGGAATGACCAGGTTTCCTTAAAGTTTTCAATAACTAAACCAAAACAGGGTTGTATTTTAAAAATTCTACAAACAGGTCCAGAGAGATCAGGCTCCCATATTGCCCCCCAATATCTGGAGGCCCCTTTGTACTAAGTATATCTGAAGTTCCTAGTTGGCAGTGGAAGAAATGTGATGGACCAAGGCAGAATAAAATTCTTTGTCCTCTGGGTCCCATGTGTATCATGCACTACTATGCTATTTCCACTGGTAAATCACTAGATTTTAGCCAGGAAAATGTTCATCTGCTCAAACTTAGAGTCTAAATTAACAATAGGAGGGAGAATCAAACAGCCAAGAGGTTTGCCCAATATCACCCAGGCAGCTAACTGTGGAGGGGGAGTAGAAGTCACGTGAGCTGACCCCAGATTCACGATCTTTCTCTACACCACGGTGCCCCAAACGAAATGGCCCATATCCTCAAAGTTGCCAAAGTACGAGTATGTGACTTCAATTTACATTCCGACACGTTTTCACATTCCAAACCAGGCTATGCGGGAGAAACACAAGGGAAGCCATGTTCTCCCTCTGTCCTTCCAATGTTTAAGTACCGTGAATAAATACAGACAGGAAGACAGCTCTGGGCGCCTGTGTGCAGAAGCTGACTCTCCACTACTGCATGCTCCACACCACTGCAAACGGAGCCCAGTGCTACCTGCAGAGCGGGCCGTCTCTTTCCCACTTAGCATAAATGTACCCCCATGTGTATCTAAAGCACTGTTATGTATCTAGTTGATCCGCTGTGATGATCTAGGATAGGGCACTTTTGGCTCATCTTGCCACAATCATCTTTCACTCTTATTTCACACCCCGCGAGTGCACTAGGTTGTTAGATGACAAAAGCAAAGCAAAGAGAAGGGGCAACCTTGTCTCTCTCTCGAGCCCACAGTCTCACCAGCAAATTGACTTACAATGAACAAAATGGTATCGAATAAGCCACCCATTTGTTTTAGTCACCCGCTGAAAGAGCACCAGCCACTGAAAACAGTATCTAGTCCCCATTCTCAGGAAATACACATTGAAGTGTTTAGGCATAAAAAAACATAATGTTTGTAACTTACCTTCAAATGGTTCAGGGAAAAAAAAAAAGTATACAGATACATACATGGGGGAGGGGAGGGAATTGATAAAGCAACTGGGGTACAATGTTGACAATAGGAAAATCAAGATACAGGGTATATGGATGTTCTTTGTACTAGTTTTATTTTTTGCAACTTTTATAAATTTGAAATCACTTCCAAAGAAAATGCGAAAAGAATCCACACCCCAAACCAAAAAATGAAACTGAAGCAAAACAAAACAAAAAAATATTCAGTGGCAAAGGCTAGGCAGATAAAGGAAAAGCAAAGCAAGAAAGTCATTCAGAGAGGACAGAGGTTCCCAGAGCTGGGGGAGTGGCAGAGTCAACACAGAAAAGAGATAATAAAGATAAGAGGGGACAGACAGACAGCATCACGATGACATCTCTACTATATTCTTCCTTCTCTCTGGGTGTTCTCAGTCAGGGCAGGCCACTGGGGAATGACAAGTTGAAAAGTCTTTTAAATTTCTAATACCACGTATGATAGACCCCATCCATCTTCCAAAGAGGAAACCTAGCTGGGGAGTGGAATCACGGGACACTGTGATGTCAACTGCACTCAGAATGTTTATCATCTGAACAATCCAGCTGGCCTCATGGGAACGGGTGTGTGATCTCCACTGCATATCCTGCAGTGGGCGGGATATGGAAAACTTCTCACTCCTCAGCATCTCTGGACCTCGAATCTCTTCCTCTGCCCTGAGCACTTTTCCTGACATTATGTCCTCAGGTGCCACCAGCTTGCCAGGTAAACTCTGGTGCCATTAGGGTCACAAACATAGCTTTTTGGAAGCTTTTCGTTGA